CCCGGCCCCCTCCCGGCTCTAGGGGCACCGGGGATCGCCAGCCAGCCGCCCCCGCTCTGAGCCGGGCTAGGGGGGGCAGAGTGGCCCCGGCCCCAGCGGCTCCCGCCCCTTCCCCAGCCAAGCACAGAGGGGCAGCCGGCGGTGCCGGAGGCGGGATCCCGGAGCGGGGGAATCCGCGGAGCTCCCCGCACCTGCGGGGCGGGGGTGGGGGGTGATGGATGGGAGAGGGCACCGCGCAGCCCCGGCACCGCTCCTCACCTTTCATCCAGTCCACCACCTGGCTCGGCGACCACTTGCTGACGGGCTCCATGATGAGCGCCATGGGCGGCTCGGGCTGCGGGGCTCGGCGGCCGCCGCTCTCCGGGCTCGGGCGAGGCTGTGCGGGGCGGAGGGAGCGCAATGCCCGAACCGCGGCTGCGGGAGGGGAGGAGAGGAGAGGAGAGAGCCGCTAGATCCCCGCTTGCCTCCGCTCCGCTCCGCTCCTCTCCGCTCCTCTCGCTCGCTCGCCGCCTCTGTGCCTCTCTGGGGATTTCAGTTCATGTTGCCGGCTCGGCGGGGAGGGGGAGGAGGAGGAGGAGGAGGAGGAGGAGGAGGAAGGGAGAGAAGAGGGCGGCACGCTCCGACGCCTCCCGCCCCCGCCAACCCGCGGGCAGCGGTTCCCGGCCCCGCCGAGAGGTTGGAGCCGGGCGGCGGCGAGCGGGGCACGGGCTCGGTTCAGCTCAGCTCAGCTCAGCTCAGCTCAGCTCAGCTCAGCTCCGCCGGCTCCGGTCCCCGGCGGCTCCCCCGGCTCTCCGCGGCCGCGCCGGTGTCTTTTTCTCCTGGCGGAAATGACGAGGCGGCTCCTGCCACCCGAAAATATCTCCAAGTGAAATGGGAAGCGACACCCGACGGCCGCCCGGGGCGGGGGGAGCGGGGGGAGCGGGGATGACTCGCAAGGTGCCGCCGGCGGCAGGAGGGGTCTGGGGCGGCGGCAGCACCGAGCACCTGCTCCCGGCGGGGCCGGAGCGCTTGGGGTGTGCGTTTGATGGATTTTATTTGCCCTGAATTAAGCATCGTTGCGTGGGCGGGAAAAGTAATTTTTTTTCCCCTTTTTTTTTTTTTTTTTTTTTTTTTTCTTGTGAGAGGGAGTGAAGCCAGGCTGTAAAACGGCGATGATGATGATGATGGACGGTGTCGCTGGGCGCCCCGAGGGAGCCGTGCCAGCAGCACCGATGGGGTGGCGGCGTTTGCCCACAGGCGGCCCGGGGAGGGGAGGGAGAGGAGCTGCACCTTGTTCTGTTCACGCCGAGGGTGAGCTAATGGGGCAAACCGGAGCCAAGTCAACCCGCTGAGTGGGGTGGGACTTCGGCGACCTCAGCATGGAGAGAGCMCCGCAGGTGCTCCTCTGCCTTCCCTGCCCTGTGGCTTGCACTGCGAGCCCATGGAGGCTGCTGGTGTGAAAATGCACCATCCCTGCCGCGGATCATCATTGCTGGAGCTGTTCAGTTYCTCCTCATTCTCTCTGCCCAGGCTGCGTCATCCTGAAGGTTCCCCCAAGAAGGCGATTCCCTTTGCCACAGTGGCTTTTGGTAGGAACCCCTCCCAGGTGCAGATTGCTCCTAGGATAGCTGTGACACCGTTTTCAGGGACCCTTCTTGGGAGCCTCTGCTCTGAGGAGGTGGCATCTCCCCCTGGAGCTCAGAGGATAGTGCTAAAGGTTATTTTCCTGCTGGTAAGTTGGCCAGTGTACGGCTTTGCCTGYATTTGCATTCACCCTGCTTCTCCTGCCAAGGCAGTGACCATCGAGATGTTCCCTCTGACGCTGCTGAATGCCAGCTGCTGATGCTGACATTTAATATCTGTGTGTGAGAAAACAGAGGGTTCCCTCCGCCCTGAAGTGGCAACGCTAAGGAATCAATTCCTTTGCATGGTGTGGTGAGTGCCAGAAGCTTTCCCACTTGGATTTGTGAGGCTGAAGTAGCAGTGATGAAGATCTTAGGTTTGATAACACCTCTCCCTGGAGACCCAGGAAGAGTCTCCCCACCAGTGTTAGGTAGAGTTGACTCTCACTTTAAAGGTTGTASTTATTTGTCTTGGAGAAGAATCTTCTTTTTTACCGAAAACTGGGGCTTGCACACTGTAATTTTCCTCAAATTTGGCTTTAGACTCGTGTCTCCTGTGTCACATTCCTGCCAGCACACTGACGAGGCCGTCTGCTTCTAAAGAGGTTTTGTTGCTTAAAGCCACAGAAACAATAAACCTCACTTGCAAACTAAGGCTGAGTTTTTACCTTGTTAAAGGTTGGAAAGGTRTGCAGGATCCTTATACACTGAGTTATTGTTGATGAAAGAGCAATAATTTTAAGTCGAAACCACCAGTTTGAAAGGTTTGGAAGTATAAATATGCAAGATCAGGCTGAAGCCTGGCATGTAATTTAAAACACCATTGTGTAATTCTCGTTGTGCTGAGAAATTCTTCACAGGTGAGGGCAGGGGAGGTTGGTTCTCAGTGAATATGCACAAAGTTCTGTAGTTCATAATTAGGCATGCCCTGGGATTGTTGTGGCTTGCCAGCATAATTTGTAGCTAAAGCAAGTTTTTCAGTAAAACATCTGTGACCCAGTACTGTCCCCATGGTCAGTATCTATTTCTTTTAAAGCCCCTTTATGGAGGTTTTATCAAATTATGGAGTGGTAAAAGGGAGTTTACTCTTCCACTTCAGTAAMCAGATGGAGTGCTGAGCATGGAATCTAATTACCTTTATTGTTCTTCTCACAGAGCATRGCTGTATTGTAAATATGGGGGTAAATCCCACTGTTCTACTTAGATCTTGTTTCAGTTTCATTGGAGATTGTTGGCTTGGCTCATGAGTGATGGCTGTTTTCATATTTCAGTTTAGTGGCCTTCATCTTGCCGTCACACTCATATGAGTCAGGCCTTCTATGCAGAGCACATGGGACACTGAACTACAGAATTATGTCTTAACTCATCTTTTAGAATTACTCTGATCTGTACAGTGCCTAAAAATTACTATGTTTAAAAATATATCTAAATATACATGTTCTTGTTAAGAAAGCCTCAGTTTATTAGGTAGTAAATGKAAAAGTAAGTACACAGTAAAATTCAATATTGAAAGAAAAGTAAGAAGAACAGGAATAAGTTTAAAATTAAACTACAAGTCTGGACCCAGAAGTATAATAATACATATATGCTTAGATATCTGTTCTGTGAGCAGCCATGGATATGGAAGGACAGCCTCAGCAGATAAATTTGAGCACACACACCTCCTGGATCAGCAYCTCAGACTGCAAGCTCACAGAAGATAATGCTTTTCTGTCAAAAAAAAAAAAAGAAAAACAAACCCTCCCTAGGGTTTAACTGACAATAGTAGCTGCTACAGAAATACAGATTGAAAACAATACCAGTAAATAGTTCAAGTCTGTCTAATAATGTACTTTTTGTGCATATTTAATCAATAGGACAACAGAAGTAGAGCACTGCTCGCCCTGAATAATGGTGGCAGCTGGATCCAGGCTCTGTCAATAATACCCTGAATAAGAATTTATTTTATGTATATAAAGCCAAACTCTAGAGTGGGTATCAGTGGCACAACTGTGGGTTCCTCAGAAACTTCATGGACTTTTTGCYAGGGTGTCTGGAAAACATGCAAGATGCTCAGAAATGACAATTTCCAATCTTGCCCTGAAGTTACRGAAAGGAATTTAACTCTCAAAAGATGTTGAGTCTGGTGCTGGATATTAAAGCTGTTTCTTAGGTGGGAGATGAAAACAAGYGGAGGCAAATTAACAGTAACTGAAGCTGAGGTCTGATAAAAATAATTGGAGTGAAAAAAAAAACCCAACAAAAATAGCAAAATCAAGCAAAACGAAAACAGCTAATACTTTCTTCGCATTAATAAAGCTTGTTTGTCTTTTGATAGCAAATAAATTCCTGATTTTTACAAACAGGGCTTTATTTGATAAGAATCGAGCTTTTTCCACTGGTATTAGCTCATGCTGCAAATATCTGCATTATATACTGGAGAGTATTTTATTCCACAGCTCTCAGCAAGGTGTAAAGCAAGTTTCCTTCTCTCTTTAAGGGAAGAGCTGCTCTCTGTCCTCTGTTCCCCAGAGCCTTTTTGCCTTCAGGATGATGTCTGAGATTCTGTCCCCACCAGGGCTGCCATGGGAACGGGGAAAGAGGTTTAGGGGAGGCAAATGACAAATAATCCYGGTGCCAGGGGGTGTGGGCAAGGAAAGGAGGAAGAGGAAGGTTCAGTAAGGCTCTGAGAAGGGCAGAGACAGGGCAGATAAGAACGTTCACAGGAGCAAAGGGGCTTAGATGCAGTTGAAGACCCAAGCTGGTTTAGACTGGAGTCTAAATCTGAGCATTTGTCCTTGGCATGGGGAGGTGGGAAGGAAGCCCATCCCAGCTGGGAAAAGGCTGACTCCCTGCCTGAGCCTCGGGGGTCTGCATGGCCCAGCACCCCCAGGAACTGGCCACTGCTGGCTTCATGGCCATGGGCAGCCTCTACCTGGCAAAAAATGGCAAAAAGACAATGAGCCTCCCGTGGCTTAGGGCCTTGTAAGAGACCGTACAGAAGACCTTTGACTGTCTCACCATCATCGACTTGGACTGAGACTGAACACCCCAAAAAAGGAACCCCAAGGGGGAGAAAGGGGGATTTTTGCTCAAAGGAGTCCGAGCCACATCAAGGTGGGATGTCTGCCAAGTTTCCAGTTCCCAGGCTGCTGAGTACGACGTGTAAGAATGGTTGCACTGCTCCTGACGTGAAGACGGAAAGAGAATGGCACGACCCCATGCTGAAAACAATAGACATTTTTTCCCCACTGCTTGGTTGGTTTTTCCATACTTTGCAACCCTCTGGCTGCTGCCACTCACTTTCAAAAGAACTATAAAAAGTCTCTCTGAAAAGACCCTGATTGGGGATCCCCCCCAACGGACATCGACGAACCCATGGAATCCGGACCTAGAAAGGACTCGTTGGAGCCGTTTGGTAGCTATAAATCCACTCTCTCTCTCTCTCTCTCTGTCTCTCTCTCTCACCCTCTTCTATCGCAAAAATCCAATAAAATTGTTCATAATTATTTAAAATATATATACTTGCCCCCTTGTTTCTTTTGCACTCTGAGATTCTGATAACGAACCCCTCACGACTCCYGCTTGGGTTAAGCGGATCRTGACAGGCCWRCTTTGGGATCTTGCTGTTCCCTCATTTCTTGCCACACATCCTCTTCAACCTGCTTGAAAACACAAGTCTTTGAAAGTATTTCAAATGCAAATATCCTGCCCTTAAAATATATGCCTTACATCCCTGATAGTTTCATTTGACATAAATGGGGGGGNGGGGTGTTGTTGTGCAATTGATATTATTTTTTATAATCAGAAATAGAAATCATAATCCCCCAAAGATGTTTAATAATTTAAAGTATTCAGAACTCAATTAAGGCTATTAAGAGATTAGAAATTAGATTAAAGGTGGCTAAAGGGTAAAAATTCAAGGACTTCAAACACCTTTTGTAACACAAAGGCTCTTAAAAAATGAAAAGACTGAGAATTTCCCCAGGAAATTCCTATCATTTTAATTAGGTTTCTTCATTTAAAATTAAAAAAAAAAAAAAAGAAACCACACAATTTAAGTCCCACTTCCTCTC